TCCTGAAGCCCCCCCCCCCCCCCGCCAGGAATAGGGTTAAAAGTACCGCGCAAAGTGACGGTGGATCTATCAAGCCTGACCGAGGAAGGACGTACTGTAATTTCAAAGTCACCGAACCAATTGACCTGGGGAATGGACGAGGATGTCCATTGTTTCGGTGACTCAAATTTAGCACTCCTTCCTCGGTCAGGCTTGATGGATCCACCGTTACTTTGCGCGGTACTTTTAAGACAGACTGTACACCTCTTCAGCTCTGTAGTCTGTACCACTCATCAGCGGCCTAGTTGGTTGGAACCTGGAGCAGTTTTGGTATTGATTGTCTCTCAGTCGTGTCTCGATATGACACATTTTTCAGTGTTCGTCACCAAGCGATGTGTTGTAACTACACATATATTGTGGATGCACCAAAGGTCAGCTAGTGAAATTGACCTTTCGCTTGATGAAAACCTAAAAAAGATAAAATATATTCGCAAAATTGTATGTTTCTCATAAGACAGAAGGTCTTTTATGGATCAAGGTAAATCGTGCTACCAGCAAGATTGTGTCTGTCCCTATTGGCCAGTACATAATGTAAGAACTCCGAATATGTGGCTCACTGCGCACTGCGCGGCCCAAAGCGTGGAGAATTATTGTATATCAAATATCCATTTCAGTGGCACTGGCATGAGACTGTTTCAATAATTGCAACTTGCATCATTGTATAGATGCACCTTTGCTATACTTAGAGTTGTTATTATTGATGTACCACTTTCTCAGAAACGTCACAGACGCCCCTGGGCCCTGGCATTCATCAACTTTGTTATGAAAAACCTGTTTTGTAGTGTGAACGCTTGGAAGTGTGAAAGCGTCCACCGAGACGAAGGAGCGACAAACATTATGTTAAGATCGAGCTGATATTTGGCACCAGGCGCGGATACAAGGGGGGGCCATGGGGGCCATGGCCCCCCCTTGGCCGATTTTTTTCAAAAATAATATAAAAAGTTAAAAAGCTGAAAAGGGGGCCTCCTGAAAATAAAGTGGCCGAAATCCGATGAGTTTTTTTTTAACCTACCCACTTAGTTATTTCTTAGAAGACTAGCTGAGAAGACTTCTTTGTTAGAAGATTGGTAAAGCTTTTCATAACTTGGAGGTCTCTTATACTCACAGAGATGACCACTTTTACAGGGCCTCCTAACCTGCACAGAGGGCCTCCAAGCCTGTACAGATGTCCTAACAAACACAAAATCTCTTAGCCTACACAGAGGCCTCCACTCGCATCCGAACAAAGGGCCTCCTAGCCAACACAGAGGGCCTCCTAACTCACACAGAAGGTCTCCTATTCTGCACAGAGGGACTCCAAGCCTGCACAGATATCCTCTTCGCCAACACAGGACCTCTTAATCTCCACAGAGGGCCTCCACTCGCATCCACACAAAGGGTCTCCAAGTCTGTACTGAGGGCCTGCGCTCGCATCTGCACAGAGGGCCTCCTAGCTATCACAGAGGGCTTCCTAGTTCACATACAAGGCCTCCTAGCAGGGGCGGATCCAGGGGGGGCGATAGGGACTATAGCGTCCCCCCGGGCGACTTTCTCATTTTCTTTTTTTTTTGCAAAAAAAGCATGATAGGGGGCCCCCAAAAATAAAGTGGACGAAATCCAGGCTTAAACTTTTGGGGGTAGGTAGGGCCCCCATCGATGGGGGGCCCCCGATTCGGAATAGCCCCTCCCTTGGCAAAATGCTGGATCCGCCCCTGTTTGGCACAATCTCCTGTTGTTTTCCAGGTTTTATCTCTCGGTTATTTTGGGTGGAGCAGGTGCGAAGCTGTGAACCTGGGTGGGGGAGGGGGAGGAAGTACATCTCCGGGAGCAGCCGGGGCGCAGTATGTTGAATAGCTGCAATAACATTTTTCTTATAAATATGGAGCTACTTACAATAATTAGTAGCTCGAGATTGTTATTAGTAGCTCGGATAGCTCGGATTCTTAGTAGCTCGATTAGTAGCTCGGATAGAGAAACGGATAGAGATTCTTCACTTGGTGAAAGACTGGAGCTAAAATAGCGTTACAAAAGAAAAAATATAAGACATTCCGATTTCGAATGACGATACGATAGATACGATCTGACACGTTATCACATGTAGCATTTAATTTTCTTCACATGTGCCTACTAACGTTAAATTAATGCAAGCACATTAATTCAACTATGCACACAAAAATGAATAGCATTCAACCATAAAATTCTAGCAATTCCGTCCAACGTCAGGGTCACGTTACTTAACCCACCTTCGTGCGACGTCCACGGTGGGCGGGTGGCATTTGGCGGGTGCGTCAGATTTGACGTTTATCCCCGTTAGTCGGGTCGGTGGGCAGTATAACGTGTGAGGTCAGGCTGCAGAGTTGCACGGTCCCGGTCGGTCGCCAGAGCACGGACCGATAGGGTCGACGGTGCAGCGTTGGTGCCGGTGCGTGCACTGCAGGTCAGTCTGCGTTGGTGTGTTGCGGGTTAAACGGTATCCGGGCTATTGTTTTGGGCTTGACTTGGTAGGTTTTTCATCATCCCTACAATTATTTTTCGTGATTCCGGCTCACGTGATAAAATGCACTAATTTTAACCATATATTTTTCCAAAATTTTCATTGTTTGATATCGTAATTTGGATGTCTCGAAAATATGCAGCTTGGACATTTTTGGTATGATACCAATTTTTCCATGGTTGTGAGTTTACATTTTTTTTTCAGAATCATGATGCCGCCCGCGCTGTTTCTGGTTCCGCTGCTGCTCGCCGCCGTATCAGCCGATCCAAACTACTGCCAAATCAGGAGCTGCGCCCATCCAGCCAACCACACCATGTGCAAGTACCCCAAGGACGGTGCCGCTTCCTCCTGTCTCGCCGTCGTTGAGAGAGGCGTGTCGTCTAAAGAGCGGAATGAGATTATCAGGGCCCACAACACCATCCGGCGGGACGTCAAGGAGGGAGTGTACGCCGACAAAAACCTGCCGGCGGCTAAGGAGATGCCGGAGCTGAAGTGGGATGAGGAGCTGGCCACTGTGGCCCAGCGCTGGTCGGATCAGTGCCAGGAAGTATACAGCGACGAGTGTCGTAACGTTCCAAGGTTCACAGTAGGACAAAGCATCACCACTTCGGAGGGGCCCAGCAATAGCAAGAACTGGACTGACGTAATTGTTAACTCGTGGTTCCTGCAAGAGCTACCTGTCTTCAAGAAAAAACAGAAGAATTTGACTTGTTGTTCTTCATTTACTTCTTTCCGTCTTACCCAGCTCATATGGGCTGGGACCACTAAGATCGGTTGTGGGTTTATCGGTTTGAAGAGCGCCAATTCATATCCGGTGGAACGTACGGTCAGAACCTACATATGTAACTACGGGCCAGCGGGGAACCAGCTTGGTGAGAAAATGTACCGGAAAAGACGCTAAGATGAATTATGTTTGCATGTCAATTTTGTTGGAAGCTATTGACATAACTGAATTTGGTCTTCGCTTCTTCTTCAATGCGAGCTACTGAACAAGGATCAGCTCTAAGAAAATTACGAGGCATTACTTTTAAGATTGACAATATACGGTGATACCGTCATATAAGTTCAATATCCCTACAAGACCATAGTCGTATCACAATGACATTGTTCAGTTTTTTTTTTTTAACAGGCCAATGATAGCGCTATACCTGCATACCGCCCACTAGCTTATACTACCTCAAGGAGAATGGCAATGAAGGGCGCCAAACATCGTCATCCGAAATCAGAAGAATTATGCAGATGCCTACATTGTGCCTGAATGAGTAACCCACACCAGAATTTGAAGCCGTCTTAAAAAGCGCGTGAGTGTCCAGAGTAGGTATCCCAGGCATTTATAAAACACATTTGAACCGGAATGTCAGGGAGACTTATTTCGTCTTTCCTCGCGCACTCCATGTCATATAAATGCTGAAGCCTACTTCTGCGGTGTCGCCAAAATTAGGTACATGAAAATGACGCCCATGGGATGGTGCGACGTACTTCTAGAGCACTTCTCGCACAACCCCTTCAACCAAGTGTTGTGCTTCAGAGCTTTCATATGAGCCGCTATTGGTAGACCATTCCAGATTTCAAAGACTGGGATTCTAAGGTGATAGGAGACTGGAGTTCAGACGCCACAATTGACTTTTTTTCTGCCGATACGTTTGCTGAACAAACACACATTTACACAAAAAAGCACAGCACAAAGCCTGAAATAAGATGCAAAATAAGCGGATTTTGTACTCTTTCTTAGAATCCTTAGAATCAAAATACTCTTTTAGTACCTGTTTGCATATTCCATTGCACAGGAAAATCATTGAGCAGCTGTTGAGCAGTGTGTAAGATGCAAAGTAGAAATCGACTGACGTTCTCAGTGAGCGACAGTTTATGCCAGCTTTTATGCCAGCTGTGTTCCATTTTTTCGTTTTTTTTAAGAAGAAGAAGCGGCAGCTAAGTAAGTGGCGAAATATCAATGTCTTGATGATTTGTTATGCCTTATGTCAGTAGGCATAATCTGAAATTAAGTAAATTACCACTGACTGCCCACATTAATCCTGAGATCACGTTAACCTGCTAAAAACGCGTGTGTCGAATTAAACGATAAGCCTTGGCATTTGGCAACATCAGGATGGTATAGTGACTCTCAGCCCTTATTTCACTGCGGCCAATTTTTTACAGAGCTCTTTACCCTTACAAAATTACTGGCTCTCGAGGACTGTTTTAGTTGTCACTGATGTAACATTATAAAGCAAACTTCACATACAAACAGCACACAAAGTCAATGTTATTATCCTCCTACGAAAGGCCTCTCAGGCTTGGAAGCGGACAAGGGATATGCTAAAACATCACCACGGCTAGGCATTAATTGCTTTGAGCACCTGTCGAATTAATTACACCGACCACCAAGTGTTATTTCTGCGCCGCATGGTCTCGCCCGGCTCACCACTTGTGCCGGTGCATGTGTTTACCGTGAACGATATAAGCGCTCCCTGTGGGCCCTGCCGTATTGAGCTGCGCTGTCTCTGGACGGTCGCTGCCCCAGCAGCTGACGATGCTGTCCCTGGTGCTGCTGCCCCTGCTGGTGGCCGGCGGAGCTGCCGACACCGACTACTGCAACATCGCCAGCTGCGTCAGCGCGTTCGTCACCTCGGAGGACCATACCCTGTGTAAGTTTCCTGCCAATCAGACCGCTTCTCGGTGTGGAACTGTCGTGGAGAGAGGTGTGTCGTCTGAAGATCAAGATGAGATCCTCGAGGCCCACAACGCCATCCGGAGGGACGTCAAGAACGGAGTGTACGCCGACAAAAACCTGCCGGCGGCCCGGGAGATGCCGGAGCTGAAGTGGGATGAGGAGCTGGCCACTGTGGCCCAGCGCTGGGTGGATCAGTGCCAGGGCGGCCACGACAAGTGTCGGAATGTCCCACGCTTCTACGTCGGACAAAACTACGCTGCATCCTGGGGATATCCGAAGAACTGGGCCTCCAACGCTGTTGGCCAGTGGTTCTTCAAGGAGCTTCCTCTGTTCCAGCAGCAGGATTTGACGTTTACCTTCGGAACGGGCACTGGACACCTGACGCAGGTGATATGGGCTGAAACCACCAGGGTCGGCTGTGGCTTTATTGCCGTGGAAGACACTCAGATTGTCCCAGGGTATACGCTCGTGAAGAGAACCTACATCTGCAACTACGGCCCAGGTGGAAATATCATGGTAAATGGTGTGGGCAAACAAATCTACTATGCTGCGTAGGACTACGGTTGTGTTTTGAAGGCATTGTAAGTATATTTCGATGTTGCAGTCGAAACTATTTACACCATCGACGGTAATAATAGCTTCTTTCATGCCATGTCTGGGATTTCTGACCAAACGATAGCCGCTAATAGTGATCAGCCATGGGATAGATAGGTATGAGGTAATTGTCGCGCATAATGGGGGGAATTTAGTTAATGCAGGCAATGTAAAGGATTGGTATGAAACCACTATTCATCGAACTACTTGCTTGTGCATTTAATCTGGCCGGAACCGCCTATAATATATTTTGGTAATTTCGCTGCAGATGAACGCCCCACCATGAAAAAGTGCGTCGTTTTTTCGTGCTGTCTGGTTCTCGTAATGGGTGACCGGCCACTGCCCGGTCCTTGGAACGGGATGCTGCGGCGGCGGTATAGTCGTTCACTAATGGTCCCAGTGCGCTGCCTTGCGGCAGTCCGGACGCTGCCCGCCCGACCGGCGAGCTTGGCGTTCGGAGAAGACCTGGCGTGGACGACTGATTGCCGCCGGCAGCGCGGTGGGACGTGGGTCAGTGAGCTGACCGACTACCCGACACCCCAACTCCTGGCTAAGGGCAGCTCTGGCAGCTCTGCAGCTTAAAATGGTGTAGTTTTGAGGTTCTATCTGTTTTTGCAGTACCATTTTTGAAATAGCAAACCTTCCCCGATATATAAATATTGAATGATCATGTCACCTTAAAAAAGTGAGTGTCAGTGCCTTACCGTGAAGTGTGAAATGAAAACAAAAAGATGCTTCTATCAGTCCATGAAAGTATACCAGGAAACATGACAACTTATATAAAGCTGATGAAAACTGCTACTCAAAACCCTGACCTTAGAAATATCTTATCTCATCAGCCTTGTCGATGGCACAGATAGGTATAGCCACGGTTAGAGCTAGATGCAAAACTTCAGCACCTACATGGCAAGCGCCATCAGCTCTCGCTCGGCTGGCGATTTCATCAAAGTTGGACCGAGTTCGACAGCTGTCGGTAAGCGTCGGTAGGTCCTGCGGACACGGCCAGCGGCCTGCTCAGAATTAGCCGTCCTCCACGACCGAACCGGGCGCCCCCGCGTCGAAATCGAACGGAATTGCTGGCTTATGCTTGACGTTTAGGTAAGGTTAGGTTGGGTCGAGTTGGGTTAGCTTAGAAAGTGTATGTGATAGTGTGCAATGTGTTTAGTTGTACAATGAAATATGTATGTAGTGATAGTGGTACGGATTGAATAAACGGCTAGCCGCCGTATAAAAATGATAATTTCTACGCACGCCTGTAGTGGCACGCACGGTCACCCCGTAATCGACAGGCATCAAACGGTTAAGCATGCCTTCGTAAGTACATAGTCTTTAGAATACTACACAGTACACATGGCCCGTTCGTCATATAAAATGGCTAATAAACATAGATAGATATGACGTTATGCTCATCGTACACGCTAAGGAAACCAACAATAACTGCATTAGATATTACGATGTAAGATGCCTGGGCCGGGCAGCCACTTGCGTCTGACTATTGCAACCTTCTGGAACAAATATATCATGATGTCGATTGTCGGCACACCATTTGGTGCTTTTCGGTAAGCTAACAATCGCCTACAGTAATGAGACCACAATCGCACGCGACCATCACGCGAGGTATTTATGTGGGCGCGCAGCATTGATCAGACTGATTACAGTGCCAGCAGCAATTAGGGGCCGATTTTTACGTCAGTTCGTGCCATAGTTACAGGTTGGTTAGCTGTCAGTGCCCGCCTCCCAGTCCATGACACAAGCAAGTGATGTTAGCAGGTCGTTTCGATATCAGCAGCACTGAGTGAGCACGGTGATTGAATGAGAAGACACCGAACCAGGCTGATAGATTATAACAGAAAACATTGCAGTACTGATGAAATTGCCAGTTAACATTCCGTTTCATAACTTCTTAATCCTAAAATACCTTTCCGTGGAGCTGTTTGATTCAAATTTTGCAGGTCCTGTCTGCTTGAACCATTGCATAATTGAACAAATATTGTCGTTACAAAATGGACCTATTCTATAAGATTTCTCATTTACTCAAGTGTATTTAGGTTCACCAATTATAGCGATGGCCGACGATGTTTCCTGATACACGAGTTTCACTTCATGGTCCTTGCATATTCAAATCAGAATTAAAACCGAAATAGGTGTAATAATTCAGGAGATTTATTGGACATATATAGCATCTAGACAAACGTAAACACACATCAGTACTGGTGGCGCGGGACACGCGGGCTGCACGTATGTGGCGGGCTTGAAGCGAAGCCCGCGCGGCCACAGCCCGACTGCGCAGCTCACAGGGACCGGGCTTCCCCAGCTCAGCAAGAGCTGCGCTGCCACATCTTGGTAAGCGCAGCTCACAGTTATAGAGCTGAGCCCATTAGCGCACAAGCATGTTTGATTAGTAGCACGTAACCCCCACATCAGAACAATATGAATATGGACATTTGAATCTAGCACATTCGTTCAATCACAAACATTGGCTGGAGATGCGACGCGTCGTTATATTTCTGCAACAAATTCCCTTATAAGTGTCTTAACGATAGAATTATCATGTTTTGTGTCCATAAATGGTAAGTGCGGCACTTCCATAACATTAGACGTAAAATGAAATTTTATTTGAACAACCATACAATCTTCATATAACGGTTGCTGTACTTTTCAATAATGTAAAAACATGGCGCTGCCTCTCACATCATTATCATGCTCACCCTCGTACCAACAACACACAGATCTTATCACATTCACATTACATCATCCAGCGTACACTTTATCGATCGTGAACTGAATGTGCATCAAAAGTTCGCCTAATAATGAAGACATGGATAACAAAGGCTGCCGACGGGTGTTTTTGAATAAGCCTAAAAAAGCAAATACCTACTGTGCGACTTTCCGTGGCGGCTGTTGGTTGTGTGTTTAGGAGTTGAACGGTGATGCGTCCCTTTATTACGAATTAAGAATGATATAAGCGTTAAGAAGGTTACAATGAAAGGCAATCGTAAAATCATCTTATCAAAAAATAACCTTACCAATAAAGTTACATAGTTGATTTGCTGCTTGATAAACGGTGGTTAATGTCCATCTATTTAGAAAAATGCTTAACAACTTCGAATTATTTACTTTAAGCAAGAAATATGCTACTAATAACTACTATAACCACTGTTAGGTAAACATCACTAGCTGTCACGGTATGGTGTGTAAAGCTATAGACCGCGCTCTGCATTTTGCCGCCTTCTCTAGTGTCGGGCACCGCCAAACGCAAAGGAATGATATCGATAACACTGTGGGTGTTCCCGCCGAGTCCCTTAGTCAGCCAGTGACGTCACTATGACGTCATCAGTGAGCGCAGGGGTCACAGACGCCTGTCTCCGAAGGCGGCACTCCAGAGCACTCACACAGTGACCTGATACAGGACAACACCCGAGTACGGAGCTCTGACCCGCCACCTGGTCAACAATAGCAGTGTGACACGGCGCGGCGCGGCAGCGGACGGGGGCTGGCTGTGGGCGGGTGCAATCGATCCTCGCTTGGGCTCATCATCGGAGAGGCTCCATTACATTCGTCCACGGGCCGGGAGGGGATGGGAGGCGGTCACGCTCGTCAATGGGCGAGCCGGCTCGGAGACAACTCTGTCACAGAGAAATCAGCCCGCGTCGACAGAGACACGACACGGAAGCAGATTTGCACCAGAAGCTCAAGTGACTAATTAGTTTCTAGGTGCGGCGCTAAGGTTTGAACACTGAACAGTCTCAGCGTTACTGAGCACACGAGACGTGGCATTCCCCAGATCAGTGCCCAAAAGTTCACAGATGGTAGCGTGTGCCTTCAATGTCCTGTAACAATGTACACAAGCATTGTGACCTTTGGTTAGTCAGGTTCGCTGCATCACCATTGCCATAGCACTACCACAGGCAGTTCACATAACTCCAGAGTTCACAGAACAATAGCAGTTAACACTCGTAACAGTAGTACCATCGGAGGACGCCATTGTTCTCATCACATTTCCAACACTTCAGCTTGCTTGTTCATTCAATCACAATCCTTACATCATTACTAGCGTCTTTGGGCGCGCTGTTAGTTTTAATCAACGACCACACAATACCAGTGTGGTTTTCTGTTCCCTCCCCTCCGGTCCATCGGCCGGTCAAGGTCCAGGACTGGTCCAAGCCGGCGCATTTACAGTCGGGTACACTCGGTCTGCTCCGTGGTCGATGGTGGCTTCAGCGGCACCGGTACCCACCGGCTGGCCATGAAGAGCTGCTGGAACGTCGACCGGAACTGCGACGACATCGAGCAGTAGAAGATGAAGTTCATCGAAGAGTTGATGAGCGCCAGAATGTCCATCAAGTCCCCGAGCCGGTTGTAGCACTGGTCGAGGAACTTCTTGCCGAGAATTCCGGACATGAGCGACAGAATGCCCTGGGGAACTCCGTGAGCAGAAAGAGCAGCAGGATGGCGAGCAGCATGCGGGTGGTCCGCACTGCCTGCTTCTCAGCGCATGACTGCTTGCTCTGACCGGAGCTCATCTTGCGCAGCAGAGCTGCCTTCCGCTTGCGCGCCTTCATGAGCTCGTGGATGAGGCAGCAGCTGAAGATGGTAAGGATGACGCACGGCAGCAGCTTGACGTGCACGCTGTACATCCAGAAGTTGAACTTCTCGAGGAACTTGTCATTGTAGGTGCTCAGGTCGCTGAAGCCGACCACGAATCTGTCCGTGGAGTTGCCCTGGGGCGAGATGGCGAAGGTCAGGTAGCTGGGGATGCAGAGGATCGGGCAGACGATGTAGGCGGACACGATGGCCACAGAGGTATTCTTCATGGAGCACCACTCGCGGTTCAGCGACGGGTGTCCGATGGCCAGGTACCGCCACACCGCCAGCACCACTGTCAGCCAGATGGAGACCGTGTGGAACACCTGCGTGACGTGCACGTACGTCAGCATGAAGACGGCCCAGCCGTAGCTGAAGCTGGTCCTGCCGAACGCCTGCAGGTAGTAGTTGAGCGTGAACGGGACGTACATGACCATGACCATGATGTCGGCGATGGCCAGGCCGGCCAGGATGGCGTTCGTCGGAGACACCATCGTCTTGCGCGTCAGCACAACGATGCTGAGGATGTTGGTGGTGAGGCCGAAGATGCAGACGGCCAGCGCCAGGTAGCCGTGCACCTTGCGGTAGCCGAGGTAGAAGGCGTTCAGGCCGGCGCCACAGTACTCGGGAGACAGGGTCGTCATGTTCTCCACCAGACTGTCCGTCAGGTTCTGCTCCAGGGCCTCAGTCGCCATCTGCCGAGCGAGGAAAGGAAGAGTGAGTGGCGGGACCGAGAAGCGGTGGCATCGTGTGCCCCTGCCGGCAGACAGGGCTACCAGCTGTCCACACTCCACGGTCAATGTAGCCAATTGACCGAGCAAGGCAGCCGCTGATGAGGTGATTCATGTCAATCAATTCAATTAATCGGGGAAGTAAACAACGATACCTGACCATGGCTCATTCCAGCTGGAGCCAGATCACGGAGCATTGTACGGGGGAAGTAATTTCGTTCGATTAGCTCGCTCGCGGGGAACCTTCATAATGCGCTTAATCAACGACACAACCGTGAAACGCCAAGACCCTGATTAAGTTAGATTACTTGATAGCTTGCTAGTTTGGAGGGGCTATTGACACTCTTGCATTGGGCTTTTTGAGAGATTACAGCAATATGACTTCAGATAAAACGTCAGCATAACATTTTTAATGCTTAGTAAACGCACAGTTTGTTTATGCTTCCGAAGCCTACCAATTATGCCATTGGGCATCTTTCGTTTGGAACATGCTTCATATACCGACATAATATTGAAGTCGAGCAATAGGCCTGTCGCCAAATCACAGAGCCTCATCACAGTTTCTGCAATTTCTGTTTGCGAGACAAAATGCATCCAGGCATAGGCAGCGTCACTCAAAAGCATTCCGCGCCTTCTCCAGTCATGTTGAATATTAGATGCACTTGTGCTGAGCCAGCAATTTCTCAGAAATACGGCGCCCGTTGGCATGAAGCTGCATTGGGGCCGTCGCAGCCGCCCGCTGTGCCGAGCTGGGCCGTCAGCGACGCCCGTCTATATTGGAGGGCTTATGAGGAGCCATCCAAGGTAGGCCGGCGCTACTCGGCGCGGCCGGAGAGCTTCAGTCGTTCAAGGCTTTATGGGCGAAATCTCGCAGCGCAACGAAGCCAACTTCTGACTGCTTATAAACTCAGAAGTCTGCTTGGTGGAAACAGATAAGTAAAAACGAAATCTTTGACTAGATTTTCTTGGCTATGCATGGAACGTATTTGACAAACGTTTTTGTATATGGCTGCCGAGCGTCAAGGAATATTTTATTTAATAATAGGCCCTACGAAAGTGTATTGGTTTTTGTAGGTGCAGTGTTCTCATTGTCCTACATATTTAGAATATTGTTATTTTGTTCATAATACACAATCATTATGTGATGTGTTTCTTGATCGACGTTCGTGTTTCTATTTATTTACTTTTACCAACACAAGCTGGCTTCCAAAAGATGGCTTGATGCTCTTAATTCAACACCGACAGAATTAAAAAAAGGGTACACTTCCTCTGCAGAGCCAACAGAGAAATCCTAACGCACACATGTCGGCAACGTCAGTAGGACACTTAGCTGTTCGCAGTATTTATTGAATACACGGCAAAACAGGCCGGGATGGGCTCTGTGCTCTCGACGCCAGTGCAAGGAGGCAATACCGTGTATAAGTGAGACATTTGTTTTGGTTTCATTCCATTTCCCCCAACCTTTCTTGGTTTATTTTATCCCGGGTTTATCTGATAGCTTCTATAGCGCGACTGCCAGTCGGCGCCACACGTAGGTAGACTGTGCCGCAAAACATGGATGCTCTGCGGCGCAGTCTACCCACAACACAGGACAACCTGTCGCCAACGCGGAGGCTGTTTTTCTAGCCCACGGGCCGCTGGGGGGGGGGGGCATAAAGTTGCCCCCCTTTACGTTTTGCGGAATATCTCCAAAACCTGATGAGCTATGAACGTGAAACTTGGCATAGCTTCAAATGAATACCTAGGCAATGCTTGAGCAAAATTTGGTGGTCGTAGCACTTAAGATGACGTCACAGTGACGTCATAAAATATTGTCGTTTTCCGATACGGACCGTTTCTGATGTCGCTGAGCATGAAACTCAACTGTAAATGAACTAGACAGCACCTGCTGTCATCCTAAAACATCTAAGTGCACTTCCATCTAGTTCCTGACCAATAATCGGCCCTTTATATTCGGTCCTATATATCCGATATATCGTGAGGAAACTGAGAGTCGCAAATCTATAATTTGACTTATGACGTCACTGTGGGGGCATTCCACGTCAAATCAAACACCGAAATCCGTCATCCCCTTCGATTTTTCTGAAAATTTGTAGGCAGACTGGGCATGGTTCAAAACTGAGTTACGTATAATATTTTCAAAATTTGATAACGTATCGCTGAGATATAGGTCATCGAATATAGCGAAAAATGCCACACATCGATTTTTTAAATGGCTATAACTCTGGTTTCTTTTCTGGTATCAAAATGATATTAACAGTGTCTTATAGGCAATTGATAAGGCTTTGATTTTTAATTATAAAATTAAATTGAAGTGACCTTGAAATGCATTTGACCTTGAATTAAAACAGAAAAATTTAAATAGCAAAAAACACGTCACCTTCGATTTGGGAATTTTACATATTATGTCCGTCACAATGTTCCTAACCATCTGTGAAAAAATTGGAGTGGGCCATTCATAACTTTCGCGGCAAACGCCGTTTTCATGCAACATCACGCAACCGCGCGTGACCTTGAAAGACAGAGGTCAAGACATGCTTATTGTGTACACTTTCTGAAATGAATGATTGCTGATTAGTGATATCCCAAACTCTGCGAGAATGGAAATGCATAGTCATCGTAGTCAAGCATTCACGTTCCATAGTAAAAGTGTCTTAGGCAACGGTATTTTGCGGTGAATTTTGAGCCGTGTGGAAATGCATCATGAAGTAATTCAACGAAAACATTATCGCGCAAACGATATCTTCACGTCTTTTGATCTCACTTTACGAAAGACATACATTTTAGTTGTATGGGGAATTTCTAGTTAATCCAATGATAATATGGCAGTTAGAGGCCTGCTAAGAGTAAATGTCGCCGCTGAGGCGGGCTCGGCCGATGCGGGTAACGCAGCAATCACAATTTTTGTGTTACACGTTTCTATTCAATTGTTTACCAACCGATTTTCAAAAAATTTTCACCATAAGATTGCCTGATATTCTTAGTCTTCTCACAAAATTTGACGCGAATCAAACGTAATCAGCGGTAGGGAGCGCGATGTAAAGACGGAACCGTTCCGTTCCGTCCCGGCACAGTCTACAATTCAGGCGGCGCGTAGCGGTCGGCGCCGGCTGCCGAGCCGCCGCGTTGCTGCGGCGACAGGATGTTCACTTTACACCGCTATAACTAGAACAGTTGTGAACCGATTTTCTTATTGCTTGCACGATGAGATGTCCAATTCAATTCTTGACAGGTAGCCATAATTAATTTCGCATTAATCTTATGAGATATTGGCGAAAAACAGGAGGGGTGGGCGAAATTCGTTCTTCCCCCTCCACTGCGCGTGCAACATACGTTTGCATATGTGCAATTTTCTTCAAAACCTATGAATGGCCCACTCTAATTTTTTCACAGGTTGTTAAGAATATGGTAGGCAATAAAAATATGAAAATGAGCCAAATCGAAGGTGACGTGTTTTTTGCTAGTTCAATATTTGTGCTTAAGAACAGAGTTAAGCAAATTCAAGGTCATATATTTAAGTAGGTGCAATTCTAAACAAATGCTTCAGAAATTACCTAAACAGTAAGGTTTATTTCATTCAAATCAAACAAGTACAACCAAAGTATGGTCGTTCAAAAATATAAGATGCAACATTTGTAAAAATTGAGGCCCTATATTTAGAAGACTGTGGTCAGAATGTGCAAAAAACATCAATGTAATGTCCGGGGCCACACAGGAACTCGCTCACAAATTTATAATGAAATCGGTGATGGTAAGGTGCAAAACAGCCGATTTTGTTCGATTTGACGTGGAATGCCCTGTGACGTCATTTCAAATGAGATCACAAAATTTGGACACAACCTCGGCTAGGTATTCAGGAAGATGTGTGCATAGTTTCGCTTCTCATCTCGTCGCGTTGCGACGATATCGTAGCAGAAGTAAAGGGGGGGGGCAACTATATGCCCCCCCCCCCCCCCCAGCGGCCGGCGGGTGGCGCGGAGGCCCAGCGGCCGAGGGTTAGGACCCGCGAGCGACGGAGGTCGCTCGCCAAATGTCGTGATGACCACTGGGTGATTGTCTTTATTCTCACCAGCGCCACTGTTTGACGAAATCTGGCACTGCCGTGGTCGCAGCTCAAACAATCCGTCACTTTGTTTAGGTTTGATGTCATCGGAGAGCCGCTGACGGTCCGATGGCTCCGACACTCGCTCGACGGCTGCCCGAGCAGGCTCGTATTTTGTTTACCTTGGGTACCCCTATTACCTGAAACCAGCATGTTATATTCACATGCAAAAAAAGGCTGATGAGCACAGTAGCAATAAGGATGCATCATTTATTTATAAGCAACTGCCCAATTGCTGACGACGCAACGGAAATCGTACTTGAATAATTAACTACCTATCGGTCTCACATAACATCGAACCACCGTAACGGACTATAATGACCATATTACCACTGGCACGGTACTTTTAAGCGTCATTGAGTCGGTTTCCCTGTTGCGGGCTCCACCCCGCGCACCATACACCCATTCGTCATTGATCGTCTCTAATCCGGTACAGACGGGAATAGCTTCCGGCGCGGCCCGCTCCCTCTGTGCGTCTCTAAATATAGTATCGGCCCACATCGATCGGGGGAGAAGGAGAGGGGCAGTGACGCGTCACCCACACAGGCCGAGTGGTGAGGGGGTGTTACGCCCGTGACCTATGTGTCGTGACCTCTGTACCGTGACCCGTGTCCCGTAACACCTACTTCTGACATCTGAGGTATTCTGCATGCGGGCGGGTAGCGAGAAAACCCGGCCTGGCGGGCCATCCCCGTGGCGCACAGAGGCCGCCAAACACGACTCGACAGCCGCTGCGGCGCTCCCGATTGAGCCAATTTGGCTAGTGCAGGGGTCCCTGGGGGGCGGGGCCGGGGGCACAGCGTGGTCAAACAGCTGCCGGAGAGGTCTGCGTACCGAGTCTAAACGGGATGAGATAGGGAGA